ATGGCTCATTGGAGTCCAATTAATAAATGAAACCCAGTATGAGAGCCTATCACTTTGCTGAGAATAACAACCCTGTTCAGGTCTTAAGTGGCAGGCCCCGCCCCCCCCCCCAAGAGCTTAAAACCCACAAGGACCAACTGGATTGGGGGCAGGAGCAGGCCTAACGGGCATGGAATGGAGGTGTTGATGGGTTGTTGTCTGGTGAAGTGGGAGACCAGACATTCCCTGCCTCCATCTCAGCTGCTCCTTTGAGGAGCCCCTGGCCATGTCTTCTTGCCCAGCAATCCCCAGGGAACTTGGCCAAGACCAGAGGACACTGAACATGGGCTTGGAAAGAAAGGGGCTGGAGAGAGAACAAGGTCAGAGAGGACCACAAGCTTTGTTCTTCTCTCTGACTACCTCACCCCATGCTCCCAACAAAGACCTGGACCAGCCAGCCAGCCCCTCCCCAGACCTGCCCAGGAGCCAGCTCATGCCCCTCCTCTCTCTTTATCCAAGCCCTGCCCCCTGCAGGAATGCTTCCCTCCCAGGCCCAGCTCAGGAAGGGTGGGAAACCCAAGAACCCGGCCTTTGCCCTCTCTGCTTAGGTAACTGCTCCTACTGAGGCCAACTCTTCCATCCTGTCCCTGCTGCGTAAGGCTGGGTTGAGGAGCAGTCATTGGTGCTTTTCTGTGCATTTCAGGGATGGAGTTAGACCTGCAGCTTGGGAGTCTGGCTGCTTGTTGGCCTTCTGGAGGATTGTTGCGAGGGGTGGGAGTGGGGGGTGGGGGGGCTGGCCTTCCTGACTCAGGGGTCAGCACAGAGGTGGAGAAATACAAGGGGAATTGCCCTGCCTCCTCAGAACTGAATGAGGCTCAATCATGACACACTTGGCATCTGGCCTGAAACAATCTTAATCTGAACCTGTTTTCCTACCTCAAAGTTTCCCCAGTGAGCAAGCAACAGGGCTATGGTCAAAGGTCACAAGACCTCTCATTTTACCACCATCCAGATAAAAGTTCTGCCTGGCATACATCCTTTTCAGTCTGCCCAACCATCTCCTTCCATAGGAGCTTCTAGGAATATCCTTCTGGTCTTTCAAGATTCAGGGGTCTGCCCAGCCAGGACCCCAGCAGCCAAAACAGACATGAATTGGGGCCCTCTCCTGGCCCCTGATCTTCCGGGGGCTGCCTGGGATTGGCAGTCAGGACAAGCCAAGTGGCCTGTATCCTGGGCTTCCAAAGCCCTGCATGGGAGGAGGCCAGACCTTGACAGTTGTTTATGCTCTGAGGCTTTGAGGAATGGGGAGGGTCAGGAGGACAGGCTGGACAGGTGGAGGTAGCCTTAGAGAGCTCGGAGGAAGCTTGAGGGCTGGTAGATAGGGCTGGATCAGAGATCAGCTACAGTGTGGCACACAACCCTCTCTGAGGCAGAGTGTGTGTGTGTGTGTGTGTGTGTGTGTGTGTAGACAGGGACTGTGAAACACAGGCTCCACCCCTGAGGTGTGTGCCCTGAAGCGCGGTCATAGGACAGCGGAGGGTGGGGGTGGTTCAGGAGTCTCTGCACCTTCCACCAGTGTCCTGTACTCTTCCACCACTGACCTCTGCTCACAGCAGCAGCCCGTGGGAACCAGACCACACATTTGCCTCAGTCATGACCTCACAGAAGGACAGCAGAGTCCTTTGTCTTCCCTCCCACTGACAGCTGTGCTTGGGCCTGGCCTCCACAGGGACACCTGGCTGGAAGTTGTCAGACACACACACACCCTCCAGCAGCCAGCCAGGTTGGGCTGTGCAGGGGGTTACTTTTCCCAGCAGCTTGGGACCCAGGACTGCTGTACTGTGCCTCTGAACCCAATCTTAGTTCCACCCTAGTGGGACTGTCCCCACCATGGCTAGATTAAGTCTGAGCCCCAGGAGAGCGGGCAGACGGCAACTCCCCCAAGAGCCTTGCTAGAGCCAGGCCAGGGCTCTAGGGATGGGGGTGGGGTGGGGTAACAGTCTTGCTGATGGCTGTGTGGAGGCAGGTCCTGGAGAGGACCCTGAGCTCCGAAACTGCAATGGGAGACCTGCGTTCCCTCAGGGGCCTTAGGGTCCTAGAACTCAGCCTCCCATGTGCCCAGCTGTGGGCCCAGAATAGAGGCTGGGAGCAGGACATGAGCTGGTTCCCTTCTCCAGTTTCATGCAGAATCAGAGGCCCCTCTAGCTCTTCAGTTTCCAGAACAGCATCAAGGCTCAGAGGAGTCAGCTGTGCCAGGAAAAGCCATTACCCTGACAGGCTCTCTCCACCTGCTAAAAGCTCCCTCCTTGTGGTGCCCGCCCCCCAATCTGGAGCTCTTTCATCCCCACTCACCTTGCCCTGACCTGTCTCTGGTGTGTGTCTGAGGGAAGGGAGGGGAGATGCTTGCTTAACTCTTTCTATGCTTGAATGAAGTCAGCACGAGGACTCCCTTGGCCTTGCCCGTGGTCCTTCCTTTTACCACCTGGCACTCCTCCTGCCAGATACCCAGGAACTTGTGCAGAGGAAGAGAGGGGACAAGAGGCCAAAGATATCAGAAGGGTGGAAGACAGGCTGACAAGTATGGTCATGAGTTCCAACTTGAATTCTGTCACTGCCCTGCTTCTGACAAGTCCCTCACTCACTCTTGGTTCTGTCTTCTCGGTGCACTGGGAAGCCCCCAGGGGATACAAAAAACTGCAGGAGCAGGTTTGACATGTGGCACATAGAAGGGCTGACTTTCTCCTTGCACACCTTCCTGAAACACCCCCTCCCTTAGTGCTTCCATGGAAGAGTGGAGGGGAACACCCCGTGGGGGACGTGGGAGACGCACAGCAGGCAGACAAGAGCGGGTGAGGGGCTGCAGAGAGCTCTCAGGCCTCTGATTTTGAGGGCGGTTGTCAGGAGAGAGAACCAGAGCACAGAGTGGCAGAAGGAAGGGTGTGGATGGCACCCTCCAGGTCAGCAGAGGTCTTAGAGCCCGCGGAAGGGACCTGACTCTGGGGCAGGCTGAGCTCCTCGGCCCTCCAGTTGCGATGCCTTCTCCTCTCAAGCCTGGCAGCCCCTATGGCAAGGCGGGCCCTGAGTCTGAGGTGGGCTCCAGCTCTCTGGGAGACCCTCCCCCCTTCTCATCTCAGATCTCCCTCAGCACTTCCCTTTCTTTTCTTTAGAACCCAACCCTAGTTCCACCGCAGTGGAACTGTCCCCACCGTGGCTGGCTAGGGTTGGGTTCAGTGACCCTCAGTCAGGTCCCTTTGAGAAACGCCCAGGTTTTCTATACCACAAATGAGGAGATGCCTTGTACTGGGCCTCTGTGTGCAGGAGCTTCACACACTTTCTTCCCGGCCCTTACCAGCACCCTGGGAGGGCAGCACTACTCACAGAAGAGGCCACTGCGGCTCCAAGGGAGGCAATCTGGCTGGGAGAGAACTGGGCTCAAAACCCCATGCTGTGGGCCTGTCAAACCTGGGCTCTTTCAAGGACTTCACACCTCAGTCACAGCAGCCAAAGACCCCCTCTTGTAGAGCCGGAGTTGGGGTCACAATGGGAAGACACCAGGTCTGCGACAATTAAAAATTTTTATTATTCTTATTACTATTATTATCACAAACACTTTATGGTATTTAACAATGTGGTGGACACTTTGCCCGTATTATTTCACTTCATGCCCACAACAACCCTGCATTTATCATCCCCATTTCACATGAACAAAGGAAGTCACAGCAAGGTTACATACCTTACATGGAGTCACACAGCTAGTAAGGTATAGAGCTGGGGGTTGGAAGCCAGATGGTCTAAATCAGTCAGAGCAGAAGGAGGTTGCTCAACTGACCCGTGAGCAGAGAGATGGGTCTCCCGCAAGATTGGTTATCCACAGGCGTGGAGTTGTGACAAGTAGGGAACATGGAGCCAGGCCACTGTGCCACTCAAGTCCAGAGGAGTGAGGGAGCAGTGAGGGCCAGGGGGTCCAGAGAGCTTCATGGAGGAGAGGAACAAGCTGGGCTGGGAAGGACCACAAGCTGGTGCTGCTAACACGTGAGGCAGATTGGCTCTATGCTTCTGGGCTGACTCCCATAGCCCATACTTCCTTTAGGGACTTCTGGGTGTGGAGATGGTGAGAACACCGTCTCTGCTTCCTGCCCTGGGGTGCTGTTTGTGCACCCAAGTGGGTGGTGAGGCTCCCTCGCTGCAGGCTCTCCAAATGACCCCTTAACTGTGATTGCTGCACTGCATACAGCCCCACGCAAAAACCTCCTCAACAGGACAGGTATTAAGTCTCTCACCTAGCTCTTTGATGGCTCTGGACCTGTGGAATGCACTGGGATGCAGAGGGTCCAAGCTCCCGCCTCACTCTGGAGAGCCTGGCACTGCACCACCTGTGAATGCTTGAGGGCCAGGGAACGCTCACCCCACCCCACCCCAACCGTGGCCGGCTCCAGGTGCCCAGCCCAGGGCCCTGCACACAGTGGGTGCTGCAGAAGGCAGTAGCATGTGTGTGCTTCATTGGAGGGTTCCAAGCTGGGGAAGCTGGGTTGAGGCTGAGGGAGCTGGGCCAGAAGCTCAGGGAAGGGAAGGGCGGAGGTGAGGCCAGCCAGGCAGCACCACACGGCCACCCTGTCCAGAGGCTTCCTCTCAGAGCAGAACCTAGGGAACAGGGTCAGGACGACAACAGTGGGGAGTCTGTGTACACAGGTGCCTGCTGGGGAGCCTGCGCTGGCAGGAGCAGGGGGTCAGACAAGCAAGGCATCTCCCCAACTTCCACCCACCCTGAGCTCTGGTGCCTGAGTCCACGTGAAGGCCTCAGAAGTGGCCAGCAAGACAGTGTGGTCACCTGAGCAGGCAGAGCGTGGAAGAGAGAGACCTGGCGTCCCCTGAGCCTGGGATGACAAGAGATGTCTGCCTGGGAGGGAGCTCTTCCTGCTCTGTCCACTCTTTGCTCTGCTTTATAAACTGTGGAGTAGGGAGGGGTGAAGAACAGGAAGGACACCCCTCTTTTGCCTCAGCCTGCGTCTCCCCTCCCCCAGGAAAACCACATCTGAGGAAGCAAAGAGCCAGAACTCCAGGGCAGTCACATCTGTGACCTCAGAGCCTACTAAAGCCCCCACTTGGGGAGACACAGTCCAGGTGGAAATCCAAGCTGAGGATGCAGGGCGAGAAGGTGAGGCACGGGGCTGGGTGGTCCTGGTGTGTGTGGGAGAGGGAAGGAGCAGCCCCGCTCTGAACTCAGCTGGAAGCCACCTGAACATCTCCTCGGGCTCAGTTAAAAGCACTTAAAAGAAAAAAAGATCGTAATCCTGTCATGCCTCATCTACCCAGCCTGCTGGAAAAATGATTTGTCCTACATAAATGAATTTCCCAGACAATGAAAGCTTATCTTCTTTATGGCCTTTGTTACTATTTTCATGGCTGTTATTACTGCATTTCCCACTGAAATGGCACATTACAGCTTCTTGGCATGTCGCCATGGGTCGCTCAGAGGAGTCACAGCCCCAGGAGGAGTGATGCTGCTCCCACTGCTTAACTGGGAACACTGAGGCTCAGGAAACTTAAGTGACCTGTTTATGCTCAAGGAATCAGTCAGGAGAGGGTGGAGGACTCAGCATTACATGCTCTCACTGTCGGTCCAGGATTCTAGCTGTTTTCCTAGAATGGCTTCCTAACCTGCCTCGTCCTCCCGGGCCCTGTCCACTGCCACACAGTAGTGTTCCTGTGCTTCCAAGGGTTGGGGTCTACTCTCAGAGAAACCGCCTAATAACTCACTCCTCCAGCCCCAGAAGTTTTCCAGTCCCTATGGCTTGACAAAGGCCAAGACACCAGTGTACACATGTACGTGTGCACACTTATCTTCCCCATTGGGGGCCGGAGCAGGCGAGAGCTCAGGCTAGGCTCCCAGGAGTACTGGCTGGCTGACACCAGAATGATCATGGGCACTGGCACTGGGCACTCAGCACAGATCTACAGGTGCCCACAGCGTCTCTCGTCTTAACTAATCAGAAGAACCTCGCGCTCCCATACTGTGAGTGGTCCTCCTCTCAGAGGACAGGTTTTTCTTCTTTCCTTGAGACCTCACCAAACCTCACAAAGAGCAGAAAGCTGCCTGCTAAGAAAAGTGAAAGGCAGAGAGGAGAAGATTGAAGGGGGACATATATAAAAGGGAAAGAGGCTAGTTCTGGGTCAAGCCAGAGGATTTCTTTTCCACCATAAAGGAATAGGAGGGGCTGATGGGATGATATGAGAAGATGTGAAAGAGCAGGAGAAAACTGACCTAGGATTTCATACAAATGCAGGTGTGCACTAGTGTGTGCATGTCTTTGTGAATGTCTGCATGCTGGTTCATGTGTATGTGTAAACACTGTATATGTGCAAAAACATGCTTGTGACTGTGCCTGAAGGCATGCATGTCTGTGTGTACATGCATGTGTGTAGTATGTGGGGGGATGTGTACGTGTGCATCTGTGTGGCTGATGGGAAGTTCAGGGTTGCCATGACTGAACCTGGACCAGGATCCTGCCCTGGGCGCTACACATCTGGGGCAACACAAGAAAGGATGGGATGAGTGTCCTCGGGCCTATCTCTGCAGCAGAGAGGGAAGCAGCACTCACTGTAGGAGGGACAAGAGATGGGTCCCCCCCCCCGCCCCCCGGGCAGGTAGGGAATATTGGCAGAAGCCTCTTTGCATATTGAAGTAGCTGGATGCTTGTTGGAGATGGTTGCTGTGGTGACGTCTGCAGTGGGGGTGGGGGAGATGGGACACAGGCCAAGAGGTGGGGGAAGGGCAGGCGGTAACTCAGTGATGTGTTAATGAAAAGCAAAAAGGAGTTGCAGACCCTGTGTCAGGGCCAAGGTTGGCTGCAGAAATGGCTTAAATGGTTTATTGGCCACACATAGGACAGTGTGAGGCTGAGGGGCTCAGTGCCCAGAAAAGAAGCGTGTTCATAGCATGGAGACAGGAACAGGGAGGGCTGTAACAGGGAGAAATGACAGCCCATTTCCCCCAATTGCAGCTCACCTGCCAGCTGCCCACACAGAGACTGAGTAGGGGGGAGAAAAGCAGGGCACTCACCCCTTGTTTGGACAACTGGATTTGGAGACTCAGGGCCCATGTGTAGTGGCCATGTGGTGCTGCAGCCTCCACAGCTACAGTTGTAGCTTTTGTTGCTGAGTCAGCTCAGTCTGCACAGAGCTGGGTGAATGCATGGAGTGCTACAGATGGTTATGAGGAGGAAAACAGTGACAACTATGAGAAACATTTGCTTAGAATTTTATAGCTTGAAAAACACATTCCCCTCTTTACAACAAGATTAAGAGAGGGACAGGTTTTTTCTTTTCTAAGGTTTTAACATTTTGCAGAGCAGGAACATGAGGCTCAGAGACATTAAGTGACAAGCTAAATGTCACAGAGCAAGTTTGTGCGTTGATACTAGAACCCAGATTTTCTGACTTCAGCGCTCTTGCCTTACTCTACTTTCTTCAAGACATCCTCATGTCCTTTGGGTGCCCATTTCCCCCCTCTTTCCTTTGAGTACGGATCTCGTATCGCCAGCTTTGAGGGAATTTGGCAAGTGTCTTTCCCTCTCTCTGTGTCCAGGATAGCTGTGGGGAGAAGAAAGAAGGCAAGAGTAACCAGCAAAGCCCTCAGCTTCTGTTTCCACCCCCTCATCCAAAGGACCCAAGCAGCTCCAAGGGATCCAGCAGCACTGGGCTCCCAGAATGCCTAGCCCACAGAGCAGGCAGCTGTCCCTGGTCCTGAAATGTCATTGTCTCAGGAAGAGGGGCAGAAGCCGAGGGGCAGAGGCCAATGGGCTACCCAAAAGGACACCTGTCCACCTCAACCCTCTCTCTCTCATTGTTCTCTAGATCCCCCTTTTACCTCCTTTCACCTCTCCCTCCTCCATGCTTCTTCTCCTTTCCTCCCTATCTCCTCTTCCTCTTCAAATTATTGACTTCTGGAGTGGGAAGGTGCCTCAAGAGTCGCCAAATCCAGCCCCTCTCACTAGCCATTTACTGTGATGCCGATCAGCTTATATAACCTCTCTGAGATCCAGTGTCCACACTTTAAAAACAGAGATGGTGATTCCTACTTACAGGGTTGTGGTGGGGATTTGTTGGAATAATGGCTCAGAAGCACACATCTCCATGTCTAGCACACAGTAGGTGTTCACAAAGTAGTACTGCCATGATTATTTCCAGGTCATTGGTGTTCTCAGGGTTCATCCCAAAGTTCATGAATTTTATGGCAAAATGCAGTTTCTTTGGAGGGAGTTTTCTAAGTGGTGCATCATTCTTAGTGTTTAATTTTCATTTACTTGGAGTAGACTTTTACTAATATTTGTACTGAAGATTTCTTAAGCAGATCTCTTTCCCCCATCTGCAAATGTGAAAGAGAATTCCCAGCTGAAGAGTGGATGAAGATGTTCATGACCAAGGGGAGGAGACTTATTCCTGAAAAGGGGTGCTATTCCTGCTCGCTTGTATGTCTCTGTGCATGCACATGTGTGTCTGCTGCCAGGGGGGCTAGGCTCAATTTTGCACATGTTCATCCCTGGGCTGGGGGTTTCTAGACCACAGGAGAGAATTGCATCTTTGGGCTCTAACAGCTCTTATCACAGAGCTTTGTCCTGTGCAGGAGCTCAGACAGTGCTTGTGAAGTATATCTGTGTGTGTTCCACACATGTACACACATGTGGACTCCTCAGTGTGGCCCTTGCTCCCCTATTCTCAGCAATGTCTCCCACCTCAGTAGGAGGAATGGTGATCAGCTAAGCCTGATCCTGACCCTGTGCTCACTTTTTCTCTCTCCAGACGTGATCCTTAAGGTGGTGGACAACAACAAAAAGGAGGAGCTCTTGTCCTATCAAATCCCCATCAAGTATCTGCGTGTCTTCCACCCCTACCACTTTGAACTGGTAAAGGTGAGTCAGAGCCCTGAGCTCTGGTCCATATGGGCCTGGGACAGGTAGGGAGAGAGCCCCTAGCTATCCCCTCAGAGCAGCCCTGGGCATCCATGCCCATTCTTCAGTATGACAAGTCTAGGACCATGTGGGGCTCAGGAAAGATGGCTCCCAGCAGATAGAAAGGAATGACATTTCCATGAAACAGCCTAGTTGGTACAGAGAATCTACCACATTAAATGAATACACCAACTGAAGATGCATTCTGATTTCATATGTGTTGAAAGAGTGGGCATGTATCTAAAAATCAAAGCAATACAGTATTTATGAAGTACCTGCTGTGTTCCAGAGATGGGCTAGACACTATACATATCTCCAATCCTCAAGATGAATTTTATTTGCATACATAGGACTGGGACTCAGGAGATAGGAATCGTCTCATCCTGAGTCACAGAACAAGTGAGGACCAGAGTCAAGGGTGAGCCCAGGTCACACTGTCTGCCAAACCAGTTCTCTATGTGCTACGTCCACATGCTACCTTGGGAGGGAGAAACCCCAGGAGAGTTGGGGTGTTATGTATAATATGTTCTCTGGAATTCCCAGCTAGTGGGCCCCAGACCCCTCTTTCGTGGTCTGAACTTCCCAGGCTAGCTCCCCTGCCTGTCCCCTCTTCCCAGGGCTGATTGGTGGAAAAAAGAATTTACTCCGTCATCGTTCAAGTACTTATTGTACCTACTGTGGGCTAGGCAGTGGACCAGAAATGAGCAGAAGCACCATTTTCTCCTCCAGACCCCTACAATGGGTTAGAGTAAAGAACAATGTGAAATTGGATTGTTTGGGTTCCTCTCGCAGGTCTTCGGCTTGCTACCTGTATATCCATAGGAGCTGCTTAACCTCCAGTCCTCAATTCCTCATCAACAAAATTAAGACAATATATCTTCTAACATGGCCATTTGGAAGATCAAGTGCAATCATGGGCATAAAGCACCAAGCAAGGTGCTCAGCAAAAAGTAGGGGCTCAGCTCAGGCTAGTTCCCCTGTTCCCTCCCTTCCCCAAGCCCTGGTACTGACGTTCTTTCTCTCCTTTTCTTAATTTTTAAAGGCTTTATTTATTTATTATTTAGAGAGAAGGGAAGGGAGGGAGAAAGAAAGGAGAAGACACATTGATTGGTTGCCTCTTGCACACCCCCTGACTGGGATAAAACCTGCAACCCAGGCATGTGCCCTGACCAAGAATCAAACCGGTGACCTTTTGCTTTGCTGGACAAGGCCCAACCAATTGAGCTACACCAGTCGGGGCCTGATCTCCTTTCCAAGGGACTCCTCAACCATGACCTCAGGGGCCGGGATGCTCCTTAAGCTCCAAGGAGACCCCCTCACTCAGGGCCTCAGGATGAGGCAGGGAAGCAAAGCCCAGAGAGATTAGTGACCCACCTGGCAGACTCAGCTCTTCAGCTGTAGTCCTGGGACCATCAGCCAGGCTCGCTGGCTCTCTTGTCCAGGCCTAGTTATCACATTTTTACAAAGAGAGCTGGCGAGCCATGGTCCTTGTGAGGGTGATGAAATATTCAAATAGACAAGGAAGATTCATCATATTGATCTCCTTGGAAGGGCTCACAGGGACCCTTTAATTATCAGCTCGGCGCCCCAGTGGAGCAATGCCAGCGCTCATCTGCAGAGGGCTGGATTTATGGCCAGGGTCTGCTCCTTAGTCATGCTCCTCTGTGTGTGTCTTCTTCCCTGGCCCCATCCGCAGCCCACTCAGACTGGGAAAGCTGATGAAGCCACTGCCAAGACCAAACTGTACGCAACAGTTGTCCGGAAGCGCAGCTTCATTCCCCGCTGCATCGGCTGCAACCACACAGCTCTGGAGGTGCTGGACTGGGCCCTCAGGGTGGGACGGGGCAGGTGGGAAGGGGCCAAGCTTTGACAGGCTCCAGGCCTGACCCTTGGCCCCCTCTGGCTGGCTTGACAGTGTGGGGCAAAGTTTTCTGGGGAAGAAATCACGAAGGGAAAAGCAACTGGACCTTTCAAAAATAGCTGAAGTGGTTTGTGAGACACAGTCCTAGGATGGCAGGGCTGATGCAGGTGGGGATGAGGATAATGATGCCTAACATTTTCCAGTGCTCTCCAGGCATACGGCCCTGCCCCCACCTTGCCTTCCCTCACTCTGCTGTTCATACACCATGCAGGCAGTGCCGCAGGGAGGACGGGGCCTCCCAAAGCCCAGTGCCTGTCTGAATCTCACTAGGGCAGGAAAAGCACCCCCACCTTCGCTCACATCTCCTGATTGTTTCTCTCCTATTCTGTCCCTCCTACAGTAGTGACCCCGACCTAGAGCTTACATCCCCCAAGGGAAGGTTTTAGGGCCACCCCACATTTCCCTGAGTCTTGTTTCTGAAGAACTTTGGTTAGTCTTCTAATTAGGTATTCATTCATTCCACAACTATTTATGGAGCCTCTTCCATCAGCCAGGCCAGGGCCTGGTCCTGCCTCCACACATTCCCCCACCATTATTTCCTACCCCTAGGCCTTTCACAGCCTTAAGAAGACTATCAATGTTCCAGAAACATATGTTCCAGGGACACACGTCTTCTCCTCTCTGCCTTTCCCCCCAGCCTCAAACTGCCCAGGAGTGACAGATTCAAATTCAGCTATGGCCTGAGTATGAACAGTATGGAGCCCGGGAGGGCCAAGCTTTGGGCTTCCCCTGCCTTAACACGAGTGATCTGATCCTCCCCATTGCACTGTGAGCTGGCAGGGCAAGAAGTGTTTTCAGCCCCATTTCACAGCTGGGTACATGATCCACACATCTGTTTCCCCACAGTCCCCTCCTCATGGATGCCAGCATGTATCAGACTGCAGGTGCCTTCTGCTCCTATCTCCCCGCTCTTCTATCATGTCTTTTCCTGAGGATGACCAGTAGCTGCACACAGAACACCTTGATCTGCAGGGGGCCCACTGTGGATCTGCCCTGCCCTCACCCTGTAGAATTGGGGCCCCTCTGCCCTCCAGCACCCTGCCCACTCCCCTGCCCCAGCATAGGTGTCCCCCCCCTTCCCCTGTGGGCTCCTGAGGGCAGACCAGAGAGCATAGCAGGACAAGAAATGGCTCCTACCACTCAAAGGGAGCAGGTGTGCTGGCACAGCTGCCTCATTCACACCTGACCATTGAGCCTAGGACAATGGTAAATTAGCCCCCTCTCAGACCTCCCTCTTAGCCCTTAGACCTTAGGTCCCTGTGAGCAATACAGCCTGACAGCACTCCAGTGAAATCCCTCAGGCCCAGACCCCACCCCCACCCAAACTTTGAAATGCCATCATCAGAGAGTTCATCCTTTGAATTTGGTGAAGGGTTTCAGTCTTCAGAGGCCCCAGTGACAGCTGAAATGCCCTAAGCACTATTTTAAACCTTTATCAGCTCACACCTGTGTGGAGTTAGCTGGCAGCCAGCTGAGATGGGTTCTGGCCAAGGGGCTTAGGTGAGGGTTCTGGGGGTGGAGGGAAGGAGAAAAGGGAGAGGAATCCAGAATAAGTCCATACTCCTAGGCCCCGTCCTCCCATTGAAGGTCAGAGCTAGACAGACCAGGAAGAGTATGGTCAACTTCTCAGCATGCAACTTGGGACACTGAGGCCCAGAGTGGAGCAGAGACTGGCCACGGTGACATAGTGACCTAGACATAGTGGGTGGCTCAGCTGGTGTAGACCTGTAGTAAGGATCCCCACCTAGCCCCTCCTCGAGGGCCCTGCCAGTCTCCTCCTCCTTCTGCTCCCAAATCGCTATGGTTTTGTCTCTCTCACCCTCATAAACACAGTTTCTCCTTCCCCTTTTCTCCTTCATTAATGGCATTCATTTATTCCACAAATACACATGAGACTTCTACTCTGGGCCAGGTGCTTTTGCTAAAAACTGGATATACAGCAGTCAATGAAGTAGATACCAAGGTATGTCCCTGTCCCTGTGGAGACTGGGTTCTAGTCTAGAAAATAAACAAGAAAGCAATTAGAATAAACACAAGCTGTAATGAGTGCCACAGAAGAGGCTGCCCAGGGCCTGAGAGAATGGGTGGGCTATTTCAGTAAGAGCGGCCACAGAAGAGTGGTGACATGTAATCTCTGAAGGAAGAGAAGGAGCGAGCCACTGAGCGGGTGCGGGTGGGGCGAGGGGAGGAGTCTAGGCAGATGGATCAGCCTGTGCAAAGACGCTGAGACAGAAACCAGAGGGGGACGTTAAAGAGTGACACAAAGCAGGCAGGAGCAAAAGAGGGGGTGGCGCTAGCAGGAGACACGGGCAGAGGGGCAGACTGGCCAATTCGTGCAGGCCTTGGCTGTCATGTTAAGAATTTATAACTTTCACTCTAAAGGCAGTGGGGGTGGGGCGGTCATTGCAGGGTCTCAAGCAGGGGAATGACATAATCCAATTAATAGAAGAAGGTAGTTTATGCCACTGCATATCAAATTGCCTGGGAAAGGGGATGAGTTGGGGGCAGGAACAGGAGAGGCCAATGAGGGGACAGAGAAGTAAGGGAAGGCACAGGAATCTCAGCTCTGGGGAGCTGGGTGAGGGTTGAGGGGATAACAGGAGCCCATAGGTGAACAAGGGATGGGGGCCTGGAGCAGGATCAGAAGCTGCTTCGGATGGCAGTGCAGGTATGTGGGACGAATCCATGTCTCTTCCCCCTGCTTGCCCAATGCCTGGCACAGAGTCTGTAGGAGGGCAACCTTGAGCAAAGACCTTGTGAGGCTGGACCAGGCAGGAGCAGGTACAGAGGCCTGGAGGCAGGAATGAGCCCACTGCTGGAAAGAAAGATGACAGGCAGGAGGGCTAACCATGGCCCTGAGAGGGCCCAAGGCCACCTGGGGCTCACCTGCCTCCTCTCTTCCCCAGGTCTTTCTTCGGGGAATCAATGAGCCCCTAGTCAACAATCCCAGCCCCATGGTGGTCGTTGCCCGTGTCGTTCCCAACTACAAGGAGTTTAAGTGAGTAGGGTCCAAGTGGGGTGAGCAACGAGGCAGGGGAGGATAGGAGACAGAGGTGCGGGTGGCTAGAAACCTGCCCTCCCCATGAGGCTCTTCAAGCCTCCCCGCTGGAACTTAGGTCCCAGAAGCTGCCCACAGTCCCTGGAAAGGGACAGCTCAGACCCCTCCTGAGAGCAGCTGGTGGGAGCCACATACAGAGGAAGAAATGGGGTCCTCAGCCCTTCCAGAGCTACCTCCCCATCTCATGCCCACCATAACCATAGTCCCCCCTCCCACTAGAGGTCAGGGCCAAGGTGGTTCACCAGCTGGTGGTTGTCCCCAAAGGAGGCAGCCTAAGGCTCATCTCAGAATTTCATGACCTTTAGCTCTGCCTAGGGGTCTCCTCCCTTGCCCTCCTGAAAGTCTCCTTGGCCCCAGCCTTGGCTCATCTCCTTTCCCCCAGGCCTCTTCTTGGGTTTGGGGCGTTCACAGTCCTCAGGAGGGGATTCAGGCTAGTTCAGTCACTGGAGACCAAACAGTGTGGAGAGTTCCCCAGAGAACATATGCCCTCTGTGTCAGCACTGCCTCCTGGAACTGTCTGCCTCTCTCTCTTTCTCTGACTCTGATGGCACAGGAGGACTTCCTGATTCATCTGCACCGCCTGTTGAATTCTGACAGCCTGTGAGCCCTCCTTGCTGGCTGGAGGAATGAAGATAATGGATGCACTCACTCAGTCCTCCCATGAGCTCAGGAACACACACACACACACACACACACACACACGCACCTGAATCCCACCCGGAACGCTCCCCAAGCTTAAACCAGGATTCCCACCATGAAGTGGGTCATTTTGGCAAGGTTCCAAAGGTGAGGCAGGGACACAAGGCCCATTTTAAAGCTGGGCAGCTGAGGCATTCGGATGTGGCCAAGGCCATGGGGAAGGGAGCCTGAGAGCTGCAGCCCATCCCCTAACCAAGATGAGCTTTCCCAAGGCCCAACTAGTAATCAAAAAGACCATGGTCCTTTATCTGTCCTAGGTCAGCCACTGCACTTTCCTCTCTCACATCAATCCAGAGTCCACTTGGGGGTCCTTGGCTGCCAGGCTTGGGTCCAGCACCAAGAGTGCAGGATGCCTGAAGCGTTCGTATCCTTACCCCTGCCTCCTTGCCTTCCCAGGGTCGGTCAGGTGAACCAGGACCCAGTCTCCCTGGGGCTGCCCATCACCCCTCTCTCCTTCCCTATCCCATCCGTGATCAACTTCGATGTTCCTCAGGTCATCCAGAATGGGTGCCCTCAGGTATGGCTCCTTCCCTCCTTCATTCTCTCACTGGTTCAGACCTCTGGTAACTCACCCACACGTTCATTCAGTCAGTCACTCAGTCAGGCAGCTGTTCATTGGATCCTGCCATGTGCCCAGGGCTGTGCCATCTGTGCTGTGGAGAAGGTGCCTGTAGGGAGCTCTTGGTCTGGTGAAAAGGTTAAACACCAACACAAGATAATGTGTAATCTAACAACATACCAGGAGGGGATTGTCAGAACTGTAAAAATAAGAGGAAGCAAGACAGGAAAAGACATTGCGATTCCACTTACATGTGGTACCTAGAGCAGGCAAGTTCAAAAAGACAGAAAGTCAAATGATGGTTGCCAGGGACTGGGGGGCAGGAAGAATGGGGAATTAGTGTTTAATGGTACAGAGTTTCTGTTTTAGATGTTGAAAAAAGTTCTGGAAATGGGTAATAGTGATGGTTACACAACATTGTGAATGTACTTCATGCCACTGAATTGTACACTTAAAACCAGTTAAAAGGATACATTTTATGTTGTGTATATTTTACCACAATAAAAAAATTGTTTTAATCAGAGATGAGAGGGATATGAAGCCTAGGCATCCAGATACAGGACTTGAGTTTTTAGTATGGGGGTTTGGTGCAAATTGGGAACAAGAGCACAGCTGTGGAGGTGAGAATGCAAGTCAGGGTTGGAGAGGAGGCCCGTTATGTCTGAGTACGTGGGTGTGGGGCACGTGCAGAGCATGGCTGGGTCCAGGCAAACAGCCAGGTTCATCTTTCCCCATGGTCTTCACTTCGGCAGGAGCTTGCCCTACATGATGGTTCCAGAATTCTTAGGGACCATAAAGAAGGCAAGTGTGCTTGGGAAGTCCTTTCTGTTATCTGCCCACCAATGTTCATGGCTGATGTGGCAAATATAGGATGAGGCACCCATTTGGAGCCCTAACCTTCATTTAAAGGCAAAGACATTTGAAGAAGGCTCAGACACGGACAAGAGTGATGGTGGTGCGGAGGGGTAGAACTAAGGGGGACCCTGGGGACAGAGGCTTCAAACCCAAACCAATCCTTGGCCTGATTTCCCCAGAGTCATCTCACACATGGCCCTGCATTTGCCCAGAAAATAATAAACCAATCAGCAGGCAGTCCCAAGGGACAGGAGGCACTGGTTGCTTTAATGAGTGAACCCTTCCCCACCCCCAACCCCTCTCTGGCTGCTTTTGCTGCCTAACTAGCCTGAGTGGGGGAGGTACCCTCACTACAGACACTTGCTCCCAGTGCCTCCTGCACATGTAGGACTCAAGGCCAGAGGTCCGGCCATGGCAGAACACTAGTCGAAGGTCACCCAGTACCATGGCACTTGGGCCAGGTTGAGAGCTCGCCAGCAGCCAGCACAGAGTGCCCAGGTGCCAGCAGTGAGATGTGAGCTTCTGTACTACAAGGTGGAAAAGGGGGAGTGGGCAAAGCCTCACCTGGAAGAGACACCTGTCAGCAGCCCTGGGCTTTCCCACCAGCTGCCCACCATTCCAAAACACCCCGGGCAGGGGTCTGAGGTTGGACTCCAGCTCTGTGACTTATTGTGTGGCCTTTGGTAAGCTGCTCAATTTCTCTCTACCTACTGATTCCTAATTTATTGGACTATTAGGAGAACTTAAAGGGCTAACCCGTGCAAAGTCCTCAAGCCCAGGGTGGAAGCTAAGTTGGTTCCATCCCTTTCAGAGCTGTCCCACTCCCAGTATCAAATGTCCCCCCTGGGTCCAGCTTGGCCATTGTCGCATTTGGCTACAAGTAACAGGCACCCAACTCATATGGACTTAAATTCTAAGGAGACTTATTGTCACACATCAAAGTGTCCCCCATATCGGATGCTGCCAGAATTGGCCTATGCGTCGGCTCAGCAGTGTCCTCAAGGACTCAGGATCTTTCCAACACCCCTGATTGCCATCTTCAGCTGGCAAGTGACTCAGGAGGCAAACTGTTCCCAGCATCCCATCTATGACCAAGACCAGAGGAAGAGGGCTTTTTTTGAGGGACTTAAAATCTTTGCAGCCCCTGGCAGACCATCCCTCTCACTTCTCACCTCATTGGCCAAATAAGGTCATATGCATTCCTCTCAGCCATTAACTAAGGAGAGATATGACCTCCTCTTGCCGGTAGCTAATGCAGGCAGGTATGGAGAAGGGGGCCACCTGGCCCATAGTGCATTCCGTTGGCTAGGAGGAAGGAGGGGAATGGTTGAGAGGCAGGTGGTCCTCAGTGCCTGTTCACTCCTCTTGGAACCTGGTAATGATGGCAAAATCTGAGCTTTGATGGGTCTGCTGGACCCAGCACAGGTTGTACTTAGGACTTGGTCCTGCCCGGCACCTGGCACCTTTGAGGGGGGACATTGCCTAATGAGCTGCTCCTATTGGCTTGGCCTCCTGCAGAGCTGAGGCAGAGCTCCTGACCGATGAAACACAAGCAGTGGTGAGAGAAGGTACCTGTGCCCAGCATCATCTCCTCCTGTCTCAGCCCCCACAGCCAGACTGGACCCAAGCTCTCATGGGCCTCCTTGTTTTCCCACAGATCCCACCCTAGTGCTGACCATTGCCAAAGCCGCCACTCAGCCCCTCCCATCTATATGGTGAGAAGCAGCCACAATGACCCCTTGCCTAGGGCTAGGCCCTTCCCCTGGATCCCTTGTCCCTGTCACTGACAGGACAAAGCCTTCACTGTCTGTCAGATACACAGCCTCATTCCCTCCAGCTTCCTGGCTCACTGCTCCACTTCTCACAGACCTTCTCTAGTCCCACTGGGTGCTGGCTGTTCTCCACACCTGTGCAATCCTCTCTCACTCCCAGTCTTCGCTTCTGCTGTACCCTGAGCCTAGATGGTCTTCCCCTTGATATCTTAGCTCCCACAACCCACAACTTGCTTAGGCCTCTTCATGGATCATGGGGGGAGGGTGTCTTATCCCCTTGGAAGACAATGAGCTCCAGAAGGAAGCAGACTCTGGCTCTAGCTCCCTCATATACCCTGTGGCACCCAGAGGCATCTAGCATGGAAAAGCCCCCAGTCAACATTTGCTGAGTTCAATTGAATTGAACTTCCACCATCACAGCAAAATACCTCTTGTCTTCTTCAACCCTCACAGCAGTGTATCAAGGCAGGGAGCATAAAACATTGGACGGTGACAAATCTAAGATCGAGAGAGGTGAAGAGGCTTGCCAAATGTCACACAGCAAGGTTGAGGTTTAGACAGATCCAGGCCCCAAGCCAAGACATCCTAACTCTCTTGAGGCCCCACTCAGCATTAGCTATTGGCAGCTACCTTTCCCAGCATGGCCACCACATGCCTGAACAGAGCGGGCAGCAATGAGTGTGGGTGTAGGTATGATGGGCCCTGAGAAATGAAAGAAGGGACTATGGGCCATGTAGTGAAGACTCTGTCCATCTCCAGGGAAGGCAGGTCTGCCTAGTGGCTGGGGGTTAATGGCTTTGCTGAAGATCACAGCTCAAGATTAATAAAACCCCTTAATTCCACAGCCCATGGTTTTTCCTGTTAGCATTTGTAGACACTGGTTTCCCCTTCATCCTCCCAACCCCCGACACATGCTACCAGCACCTTCACCAGGGTCCTGGCATCAGGCTCTGAAAGTGCTCTCACCTGGATTCCTTCCTTGGTTCCTTGCTCCCCGACCCTACTACACACACAAGAGAGGCTGACCTTCCCCCCCCCGGCCCCGTTCTAGGTCTAAAGAGCTCTTTTCTGGGGATGCATCCTGGGAAACCATTCAGGGGAGGAGCTGTCCGTACTCCTCCCCTGAATGTGTCAGGGAGGGCAGGCAGACACCATTTCTTGCTTTGGAGACTTCATTTAGACACATGAATAGTCCACAGAGAGGACAGCCAGCATCCATCAAATACTCCTTTCCCAGAGTAGAAGCAACAGATAAGGCAGCAGGGGCATTGAGTCACAGGTCCTTTAGTGCCCCAGTCAGTATCTGACAGATGGTCCAGGCTCTGTGGATGCCCCTCTGGCACCAAGGAGAATGGGGTGGCTTTGGGGTGGGCATGTTTTGGGGATCCACCCTGAAATGTCACTCCCAAGCGCCACAGAGCCCAGAAGCAGCTCCTGTGGTAATGGCCAAGTGGCTGAAGCCTGCTCTCGAGAACACTCCTATCACCCCAGTCACTGTCTCTGTATTCAGGCCCCCAAGGTGACTCTAACCCATCTCCTGAGGGGTAGGGACAGGCAGACACAGCTGAGCCTCAGTCTGGGCCTTGGAGAGCCAGAGCAAGCACATCAGTGTGACAGGCCTCAGGGTCCTGCCACCACAGGGGGAGTAGACCCACACTGAGGTTTTGCAATCCTGCATCAATAGCTTCTGGAGCCAGTGGTGCATTTGTGCTGACCTTTTCAGTGATGACTGATTCCCGCAGGGGAATGGGAGGTGGGAGCAGCTGCCACTGTTGCTGACAGCCCGTAGCTGGGGGCAGAGGCAAGACAGCCACTTGGAGAGTCTGTGAAGATGACCGCCAGCTGGTCCCATGGTGACCCTGTGGAGGGATGTGCAGGACTGCCTGCTGGGGTTACAGGCTCATACTCCCTGCTTCCAGCCTTTGCAGAAACTAGACTTCCTCCACCTGGAGTCCCTCATTATTCTAGGCATCCTCCACCCAAGCCATGCTTGGTGCCACCCCTGCATTTTTGCGTGGGCTGTTTTCCCACCCAGAAGACCTTCCTCTCTCCATCACCCCATCAATCTTCCTTCTGAGCCTTCCACTCGTCCCTCTTTCCACAGGATGGTTTTTCTGACCACCCCAAAAGTCTCAAACAGCCATTTATTTGGGGGCTATTGATAATGCTGTCCTGTTTCATTCTTTAAATTGCACTCACATGGAGCACCAGCTGCTGGCTTAATGTGTCATCGAGTCCCCTGAAAATCTGATGAAGAACTGTCATGGCCTCTACAAGGGACTGGGAAGCCTGCATGGGACAGAGAAGGAATGGTGATATAGGGGTCATGTCTAACTTGGCATATAAGACACCACCAGCCATGGGTGTGAACATTGGTGCGACTCTATTTTTTTTATTAAACATATTATTTATTTATTTTTAGAGAGAGAGGAAGGGAGGGAGAAAGAGAGGGAGAGAGGTGCTCTGACCATCAGTCAAACCAGCAACTTTTCAGTTTGCAGGACAGCACCCAACATACTGAGCCACACTGCTCAGGGTACATTGGTACAACTCTTTAGGAAAGCCGTCTACCGACAATGAATCCAGTGTCTTAAAATATGTCTTTCCTTTAACTCAGATTTCTATTTTGGGAACTAAGGAAATCATTTGAGATACAGAGATATGTGTCAAAGAACGTTCAATGCAGTGTTATTATAGGAAAAAATAGGATAGGAGGAACCAGGGCACTTGAACATGACAGAACATTCAGCTACCAGAGTCCTGAGTAACAACTGTTACTCTGACTGTAGACATGTTTAGGTTTTCATGTTAAATGAAAAAAGGATGTTAGAATAACAATTATATACAAAATAGGCACAGGAAAAACTAGAAAAATGTATTGTCTTATGGACAACTGTCCTTAGTATAAGAATTTAAGGTTTTTTCCACCTTTTGGTTTTTCTGTATTTTCCCAAATTTATTCATTAAGTGTGTGCTGCTTTTATAATTGAGAAAACATTGGTGAGACATATACAAGGCCTGTCCAGAAGGTATCCAACCATGTAATATGAAAAATAGAGAAATTTGGGAACTTCCGGCTAAGATGGAGGTGTAGGTAGATAGACTTTGTCTCCTTGCCCAACCAAAAGGACAACAACAAATTTAAAAACAAAAAATAACCAGAACTGCCAGAAAATCAAACTGTGTGGAAGTTCAACAACCAAGGAGCTAAAGAAGAAACATTCATCCAGACTGGTAGGAGGAGCGGAGGTGGGCAGCCAGGGAGGAGAGGATGCGTGGCAAGTCAGCCATTGGAGAGCCTGGTGGGCGTGGTGGCAGCTGGTGGTCAGGCTGGTCCCACACTTGTGTGCAGATAAATTGGGAAGAATAGCTAGGGAGAGAGGCTGTGCAATCCAGGGTTCCAGAGTGGGAAATGAAAGCCTCAAAACCTCTGGCTATAAAAACCTTTGGGGGTTGCAGCAGTGAAAAAAACTCCCAGCCTCCCAGGAGAGTTTGCTGGAGAAACCCACAGAGTCCTAGAACCTACACAAACCCACCTACCTGGGAATTAGTGCGACAAGGGCCCAATTTGCTTGTGGGTACCAAGGGAAGGGACTGTAAGCTGGCTGGGAGCCAAGCAAGTGGCATTGTTCCCTTTTGGACCTCTCCCCCACGTACAACATCACAATGCAGCAACCTGGGTGGCCCCACCCTGGCAAATACCTAAAGCTTTGCCTCTTTCATGTAACAGGTACACTGAAACAAAGAAACATGGTCCAAATGAAAGAACAGGTCAAAGCTCCAAAAATAGAACTAAGCGATGAACAGGTAGCCAACCTATCAGATGCACAGTTCAAAACACTGGAAGTCAGGATGCTCACTGAATGGGTTGAGTATGGTCGCAAAATGGAGGAAGAAGTGAAGGCTACACAAAGTGAAATAAAGAAAAATGCACAGGGAACCAACAGTAAAGGGAGGGAAACTGGGACTCAAATCAATGGCTGGGAGCAGAAGGAAGAGATAAACATTCAACCAGAACAGAATGAAGAAACAAGAATTCTAAAAAATGAGGAGAGGCTTAGGAACTTCTGGGACAACTTTAAATGACCCAACATCCAAATCATAGGCGTTCCAGAAGGAGAAGGGCAAGAGCAAGAAATTGAAAACTTATTTCAAAAAACGATGAAGGAGAACTTCCCCAATCTGGCCGAGGAAATAGACTTCCAGGAGATCCAGGAAGCTCAGGGAGTCCCAGAGAAGTTTGGCCCAAGGAAGCACACACCAAAGCACATCATAGTTACGTTGCCCAAGATTAAAGATAGGGAGAGAATCTTAACAGCAGCAAGAGAAAAGGAGACAGTTACCTACAAAGGAGTTCCCATAAGACTATCAGCTGATTTCTCAAAAGAAACCTTGCAGGCAAGAAGGGGCTGGCAAGGAGTATTCAAAGTCATGAGAGGTGAGGGCCTGCGTCCAAGATGACTCTCTCCAGCAGCGCTCTCATTCAGAATGGAAGGGCAGATAGTGTGCTTCCCAGATAAGGTCAAGTTAAAGGAGTTCGTCATCACCCAGCCCTGTTACATGAAATGTTAAAGGGACTTATCTAAGAAAAAGAAAAAGATCAAAATCTATGAACAGTAAAATGACAAGAAATTCACAACCATCAACAACTGAACCTACAACAAAAACACAGGCAAAAACAAACTAAGCAAACAACTAGAACAGGCACAGAATCACAGAAATGGAGATCAGAGGGGACGTGGAGGGATGAGAATGGGGGAAAAGGTGCAGGGAATAAGAGGCATAAATAGTAGGTACAAAATAGACGGGGGGCGGTTGAAAATAGTATAGGAAATGGAGAAGCCAGAGAACTTGTATGTACAACCCATGGGCATGAACTAAGTGGAGGGGGAGGATACTGCTGGCAGGCGGGGTGCTGGACAAAGGAGAGGGAAAAAAATGAGACAACTGCAATAGCATAATCAATAAAATATATATTTAAAAAAAGAAAAATAGAGACTTTTATTGAAATAAATACAAGAGACATTGTACACAGGAAAATGACACCTCAGTCCCCTTCAAAGTAGGCACCTTGGGACCTCACACAGTTTTCCCAATCACCATGAGCTACCCCTTTGTATTTTCCTGAATCTCATCGACAGTCTGAAATCTCTTCCCTTTCAAAGGTGGTTTAGTTTTGGGAAAAACCAGAACTGGCAAGGTGCCAAATCTGGGCTGTAGTGGGGCTGAGTCACCTGAGTGATTTGATGCTTTGCCAAAAACCCTGCACCAGACAGGATGCATGAGTGCGCACATTGTAGCGATGAAGCTGCCAATCACCAGTTGTCCATAGTTTTGGCCTTCTGAATCATTTGAATAGTTTCCACAGAGGATTGGTCAAGCTTAATGCAAAATGTAATGCAAATTCATTGCTCTACTCATTTAGTCATTTTGAATGTGACAGCCACACAATACACATGCTCATTCAATGGCATCTACTGCATCCACTGACTAGTACAGTGAAGTCGTCATTGTTCACCCATGTGCACTCCAGTCCTCTCTTTGGCTGCCAGGTGACATCAGTGTCATGCAAACTGTTCTCATTATATTAATAAAGGCTGGACTTTTTCAAGACAGACCTTGTAGACACACACACAACCCAATATCCAGACATCTCTTGTTTTGGGAGAAGCTATGGCCCCACCATCTGCTCCCACCTTCTCCTTTCAGCTGTCCAAGTCCGGGGGACACCCAGAACTGCCCCTGTGGAATCAGTCCTTCCTCTTCCAAGGCCGAGACGGAGCCACTAACTTCTCAGAAGATACCGCCCTGGTGCTAGAGTACTACTCTTCAACTTCAAGTAAGTGTCCCTGGTGCCACACCAGGTATGAAAGGATTTTCAGTCCATCCTGCTTCTGCCTTCAGTGGGGATGGGTTCTGGGCAATCTCCCAGTTCATGCAGACAGGCAAGGGAATGCCAGGCCAGCGTCCTTGTCCAAATGGCAGCTCAGGGGTATAGGTCCTATTCCTATACTGGCTCCATGTTTTTTTATTGCACCATCTCTCCTTCCCATGCACCTATCAGTGAGGTGGGTGGAGGTGGAGGCTTCATGGCAAACATCCTGTGGGGGCGGGGAGAGTAGGCAGATTCAAAAAACAGCTGATCCACAGTCTTCAGTCCACACTGTAAGACTGAAGACCTCAAAGAACAGGGACAAGGGAGCTCCATGTAGATGCCCAGAGACAGGGATGTGGTTAGAGCTGGCAGTCAACTCAGTAAGCCCTGAACAGCAGAGAAGAAGGAGGATATTTGTGCAGGCAAAGGCAGGAGGTGGGTGGTAAAGGATGGGAGAAATAACTGTTGGGTACTAAAGGATGGGGCCCAGGTGGGGCCTCAGATGCTGCAATCTGAGAAGCCTGGGGTGAAGGCTTTCATGGGAGCCCCAGCTGATCTGGTGCTCCACCTCTGTCTCCACAGTGAAAGCCGGTGAGCCATGGGCCCCCAGCAAGCCTCTGGGTGTCTCTGTGTTGCCACTGAAGAGCCATTTGTACCACAAGATGCTGACAGGGAAAGGCCTGAATGGGTTACGAGTAGAGAGGCTCCCCATCACTGTGAGTCTCCCACCTTTGGCAGGTCCACCCGGTCCCACACTGTCCCCCCCTGCTTCTCCTTGCCTCACCAACACTGGCAAATTCCAGCACCTTCCAGCAGGGCCCCCCTGGAAGCTGACCACTGTGAGGTGTGAGGAGTTCCCCAAGTACCAAAAGTCAGTCTCACTCTTGGGCTTGTGATGAAATTGCCCCAGAGAAACTTGGGGAGAAGCACAGGGATGCCCCATGGGGTAGCAGTAAGAACTCAGGCCTCTAACAAACCAGACCTGAGTTCAAATTCTGACTTGCCCTAGTCCTCACTGTAGAAGCTGGGGCAAGTTACTTGCCTTCGCTGAACCTCAAAGCCATCTCTAAAATGGGAACTTGCTTGTGTACAGTCCCTCTGTCTAACAAGAATCAAGAGCCCAAGCTCAAGAGCTAAGACTGTCTGGGTTCATTTCTCATTCCACCACTTACCACTTTACATGACTGTGGAAAAAATTACTTAAGGTCTCAGTGCCTCAGTTTCCTTATTGGTAAAATGGGTTCATAGTAATAGTACTTTTTTCATAGGGTTGCTGTAAGATTTATTTGGGAAATAAATATCTGTAAAGCACTTAGAACAGAATAAGTTCCCAGTGAGAATTTATACATTATTATCACCATTGTCTACATCTATGCCACCTTTTAGACTAAAGTACTTCTGGCCATATGGTCATAATAGGCTTCCACAAACAGGAGCTTCCACACTCTGCCAGGAGGCAAGTGTGAAAGTGCCAATCAGGTCTCCAGTGGAGTTGGGAAGGGTGTACAGAGGCGGTGAGGGTGAGTAAGGAAGGAGCCCAGCTCCTGCCTCCCTCAGACCCCCTGGACGTAGCACTCAGCAGGCAATTCTTGAGTAATCCAGAACAGTGGGTGGAGCAGAGGCAGAAGTTGCCCTGGATGGCTTGCTCTGACTGCTCCCTTCTTCCTTCTAGGACACCAACCTGAAAACCATAACTGGTGAGGTCCCCACGGTAGATCTGTCCTTTCAGCTGCTTTCTTCTGAGGTAAGGCTGAAGGTCAGGGGAAGGTCAGGGCCTGGAAGCCATGTGCCACCTCCTGTAGCCTCTCAGTGGATTCCAGCCTCCTTCACAATTGCTGGCCTTGTTCACGGCTGGGGTCAGGGGTTTCAGGGAAGAGGGAACTGATGCTCAGAGATGCCTGAGGGTGATTTGAGGCTCCAGAAAACCAGAGAGAATGTACAGATTAGAAAAAGGAGAGTTGGAACAAAGGGCCACCCAGACCTGGGAGTCAGCCTCTGACCTGGTCTCAGCCAAGCCTGGCTCCCTGGGATCCAGGTTCCCTAAGGGTGAACTAGGATATCAGCTTCTGTTGCTGTGTAACAAACTACCACAAACTTCGCAGCTGAAAACAACACTCACATGTGAGCTCAAACCTCTGTAGTAGGCAGTTCTACACAGCTCCAATGTTGGCAGGGCTGCATTCCTTTCTGGAAACTAGGGGGAGGCTGGGCTTCCAGGCTCACTTAGGTTGTCGTTAGAATCCAGTTCCCGACAGTTGTGGGACTAAGGTCCCTGTTTCCTTGCTGGCTATCAGCAAGGGGCCTCTCTCAGCTCCTGAAGGCTGCCCACATTCTTTCTTACAATGGCCTCCTCCATCTTCAAGCCAGCAGCATGTTAAATCCCCCTCACACTCCACAACTTTCTCTTCTGACTGGCAGCCAGAGAAAACACTCTGCTTTTACAGAGGCTCATGTAACTAGGTCAGACCTGCTCTGATTACGTCCCCTTCTTAAGGCACACTGTGCCATTAACTAAGTTCAGCATGCTCACAGTTTCCGGGGATCAGGGTGTGGACTTTTGGAATGCTACCTGCTACAGCTGGGCGGGTCCAAGTGGAGAATACCAGGGCTGAGCCCTGACTGACAGACTAGATATCTGCCTCTTGCCACCTATACGTGAGTTCCAAGTCCAGATGGACCCCAGCTCTTTGGCTCCAGTGCACTTTGCAGATACCTGCTGGAATCTTCCCACTGTCCCTTCTGTGGTGCTGAGACAGGCATGCCACTGGAATATGGGAAGTTTAGAATTATGGGCCCAGGAAATGATGACAGGGGTGATGTCTGGGTCAGCCCGTGACTACCAGCTTCCCATGCCAGAAAAAAAATAGCCACCAGCTTTGGGGTAATGCTTGGTCCTGTGACCTTACCCATGAAGAACCCAGGGAATGCCACGGTGTAGGGTAAGAGGTGTGTATCCAGGAATGTATTAGCGGGCAAGTGTCTCCCCACCAGCCTCTGGAGAGTGCCTGAGGCCTCCCATTAGCACTGCTCGCTGTGCAATGTTCTGCATTGCCCTCTAGAGCTTCCTTTAATTCCTGGTGAGAGAATTTGTTAGATAACAACCTGACACCTCCCCGCCCCCACTCCCACCAAACCAGGTGCAGGACCCAGAAGGTACCGGGAGCGCACACACAGAAGCAGCAGAAGGCCCAAGAAAGGAGAAGGAGAATCCTTGGGGAAAGTGTCACAGATTACCCAGATTGGATGGAGCTCAATGCTCAGTACCCTATTCTCAGGGTCCAGACTCGGCCAATGGCCACAGCCAGCCCCTCCCTCACCTCCCCCTGCCTCCTGCCTTTTCACTGGGGCACGTGTGTTCTGAGGACCAAAAGGGGCGCCAAGTGGACACTGGGGGACCCAGGCAGGCAACAGGCAGGTAGCTAGGACGCTTCCCCAGTTACCCAGGGGCTGGGCACAAAGGTCTTGGTGATGAATTATTCACTGGAGCTGTGCTAAGTGCAGAATTAATCCCTTTCCTTCCAGCTGGCGACCTCGCTAAATTATCCCTCCAAGTCATGCGGGAAAACGCTGTGAATTCATTGAGCTGCTGAGTGTTTTGATCTGGGCCTTGTGATTTTAGCTTCCCCTTCCCCCAGCCCCCCTCCCCCTGGAGGCGGGTAAAAACCTTTCAGTAATGGATTTCTGAGAAGAAAGGAAAAGAAAGAGAATCAAGATTGGGTGTGTACCAGGAAAATAGTACTCGTCAAAATTCAGATTCTGCAGCCAAGAACTCATTCATGCAGTTTCACACATGTATACTCACACAATGGCATTCTAATACCCACACATGACAGTCATATGTGCACAAACATTCACTGGTGCACACATACATGCAACTTTGCAAGAGTGCACACACTTAATACATAGGTACATGCTCATACACACATGCAAACTGACACAGAAATATTTTCACACCCACATTGGCACACAAAGAAGCTAAATCTCTTTGTGGCTAAACTGTTTCTTGGTGAAACAACCTGAGAATTAGCTAATAACCGACTCACTTTGATGCTCGAATGTTGAAGTCCAATTTGGGGACCTGGGGATGAAGTGCTCATGCCGGTGAACTTGGCCTAAGGCTCTTACCGTCATAGCTCCCTTCTGTTTATTTTTTACTCCACATGTGTTTGAGGAAGATTAGAATTTGGGCTGCCCTTGTGGATTGCAGTGAGGAAAGGGCGGGGCCAGCAGCCATGGAATGCACCTGACTCGAATTCACTTTCATCTGACTTGAACACAGCTCTCTGCTGGCAGCTGAGCTCTTTTGGTGCCCTTCTCCCCGCAGAGCGGGGAGAGAGCATTGAGAATGGATGAGTAGGTTAGATGGCCTTGCAGCTAACTCTAAAGGCCTGTCTCCAGCTCTATCCCTCACCATCGCCTTCACTGTCATACCGCCATTGTCCTCCATGCAGCTGCAAACACTTACCGAGCACCTGCTAGGTAGCAGATACCATCTTGGTTTCATGGATCTTGCGTTGAAGAAGATGAGAAAAAAAGATCCTGTCTTCCTTAAGCTTACATTGTTACAGAGCAGGGAATGTGGGCCAGAAAATGAGTGAATCAGTTCATGAGCAGATGTCTGCTCCTGATCAGTGGGTCTGGTGAAACCAAAAAAGGTGAGTAACAGGGAGTGCTCCAACAGGCTCTGCGAATTTGGCTACCATAACAGAGAGACCAGGTTCCTTCCATCTTACTGTTCCACCTAAGGTATTGTCTGCCAGTTCACTGTCGAAGGTACCTGGTCTTCATCTCTGTATTCCAGCCTGTGGGACCAGAACCACTGAATCTTCCATCATTTCAATTAAACACTGTTCAAAGCTCCAGGAGCCACACCTGAATCCCAGTGGCCTTAGAGTACTGTGACACTCCAGCAGCAGGGAAACTTGTGATAATGGGCTCCTCAGGGCCCCTTGTCAATGTGGCTGACAACTCTGTCTTAGGTGCAGCTCCATGCTCATGGTCAGATGTGCTATAGAGAAGAAATACCTCAGGAAAAATAAATACACATGCCCTACTTGGGTCCCTCCTGTCTGAGGACACAGCCTCTTTTCCCAGGAGCCTCCGCAGGACAGCACAGGCCATTCTGGTTAATTTGCATTTTGGTGAATGCAGTCTCCCCACACCCACTGCTTTCATGTTATCCATTCTCAGAGCTCTAGGAACGGGAACACTGTGGAACTCCCAAATAGACAGAGACCACAGAGGTATCACAACAGCCCGCCCTGGATGGGTATTTCCTTGACAACATCTCCTATAGGTGGTCAGCCCAGCCTCTCCTCTTGCTCTACGGTGACCAGGAGCTCACTCCCTCTAGAAGTAACCCATCCCATGGCTCAGTGGCTATGACTGATGAAACACTCACCCTACATTGAGTCCATCCTGCCTCCCAGGGCCCTCTGTCTGCCCCAGGCCCCTGACTCTGCCCTCTGGGGCTACAGTGCAACCCCAGCAATCCTCGTGTACCCGTTCTAGAGACACTGGCATATGGTCAGCCATCCAGTATGCTGGTGGGCAGACTAGCCAACAAAGCCAGCAGTTTCAGTGAATGGCAAAAGCAGGTGGTCTCCTGGTTTGGGATATTGTGCCTGAAGCCAGTTCTGTGGGTGATGGGTTGAGCTTTTCCCCTCCTTCTCTAAGTGACTTCTGTATGGGACCTGCTGCTTTGAGTGATGTGCCTTAAGCTGGAGCTGTGTAAATAGATGAGTATATGTATACCTACGCATAGATACACAGAAAACTCCTTATTGCACATTCTCTGGAGGTTGGCTATGGAAGTCCATTGGGCTCTAAGAATCCCTGAGCCTATGGCTACTCTGCGTACACATACACAAATAAACCTTTGGTCTCGTCCACTCCTTCTCTGATGTTAGTCTCTTCTCTTTGAAGAGAGTGATCTGGTCCCCCAGGAGTCTATGCTTCTCCAGGCTAAGCAGCCTCCTCTTTTAATGAACTGGTTTCAAAATCCCCCAGCATCCTGGGTGCCCTCCAGCTTGCAGATGTCCTCTTTGAAGTGAGGCCCACACTGACCAGGTTTCCTAGGCCTAGCCACGTGGACCAGAGCCTGCCATGCACACAGTAAGTGCTTATTGTTTCAGTCTCAGCCTCCTGTCCATGTAGTCATCTAGGTATTCTGCAGTGCATCCTCTCTTAGGGATGGCATTTGGGGTCCAGGGTCTTACCCAGGCAGGGTACCAGGGCACCAGATGGAGGCAGGGCCTCTTGGATGAGCAGCCACACCTTCCTTAACCCATATCCCTGCGATGGCAGGACTTAAAACACCCTGGCTTCCTTGGATTTTGGCACAAGGAGGGCACATTTGAGAAAAGGAGGGGGTGAAATCTGTTGCTACCCCCAGGGGAAGAGGTGACTCCCACAGTCCATCTGCCCCATCCCGTACCCCACACAGAAAGGGGCTGGTGGGTCTTTGATACCATGCCTCACTGCTGTTTTAATTCAAACCACGAGTTACAAAACTCTCCCTGGGGACCTGCCCAGAGGAGGGACAAGTGGCTATCTGGCAAATGCGGAGGGGGAAAGCAGGACAAAGGATGTAGGTTTCGATTAATTTTTAGACTAGCTTTGTTGAATTTTTATGAATTTCTTTGAAAGGCACACGTGACAGCCACAGGCTAGTTCTCTGAGAAGCCCCAACACAAGCCTGCCTCCATGTCCTTACAAGCAAGGCTGCCTGGAAGGCCCAGTGTC